GAAGCTTCTCAGTAACACTAACTACAGACAGAAAACATATGGTGGACGTGCCTTCTCATATGCTGCTCCAAAACTCTGGAATGACCTTCCACTTGATCTTCGTGAAGTTACTGATGTCAATATTTTTAAAAAGAGACTTAAGACCTACTTGTTCAGCAAAGCCTACAGTGTGGAATAACTCTACAGATTTGTAGTGTTCGCTGTCAGTGCCTTTGAACAAAACTTAGTTTTGGATACCGGCGCTATATAAGTTTTTTTAGATAGATAGATAGATAAAAGATAGATAGGTAATTGTTCACTGGACCAACCATTCCCACAATTAAAGACATCCAAATATTGTCTGAATAAATGGCACCAGGCTGAACAGTTGATTGCAATCACAGTAAATCCATTTTACATATTTGTCTCATTTTAGCCTGAAATAGTTCATAAATAGTAAACTCTTTAATTAAACCCTAAAACCCTAGTTATATACATATTCTTGGAAATGTAGAGACTGGACACAATTTTTATATTCAAAAAAAAATCCTGTAACGATGGTTGTTGTGTTTAATACTTTGGCAAGCCCATTAGGGCCAAATTCTCAAAGCATAACTAATATACTCAACAAAATATAAAACATAACCAATTTGAAAAAATGTTTGCTAGCTTCATTATTGTCATTTGAATGTCAGCCATCGTCTTGGATTTGTGACAGTGATTTTATCAATCACTTCTTGAGATATTCCTCTTTTTAACATTTTTGGAAGGACATTGACAAGTATGTGCGCGTAACCATGACCACCATACTCAACCTGTGACGAGGAAGCAAAAAAAATATTAATAACAAACAAAAAATGAATTCTTGTATCAAGTACATTAAATGTGTCACAACAGTGCATGTACGTGGTGAGTCCCACCCAACAAGAATGCATGTTTATGTAGCAATTAATATTTAAGGATTGCAAAATTGAAGGTTTGTTTCAAGTTTACTGGCAAGCTGAACTTGAGGATAAATTACTTACAGATGCAACCATATGCCAAGTTCATCACATTCTGCCATACTGGGCTTGAATGAATTGCATAGTGTGTGTGATGTCAGTGAAAAATAGATGGAGAACAGACAAGTTCATGCATAGGACAGTTCTAATAAACATCATAGCTTATAATATGTAACAGTTTAATTATACAACACTTCTGATATGGCGGAAGCTATAAAAGAATTTTGTTCATGTTTTTTCAACACTATAAGGGAAACAACCCCGCTGTAAATTGCTAACATTGAAAGGATAGCATACATGTAGTTGATTACTCTGCCACAATTTCCAAACTTTTTTCACTGAAAAATCCACTAACAAATTTGATGTTTATTCTAGTTTTATATCGAATAAAATATGATTTGACACCTAAATAAAATTTATAATTGTAGTATGGGGCCATAAATCATTAAACAAGAGAATCTCATAAAAACAAAATCAGTTACTGTTATTGTCTCTTGAGGGCAGTGTTATACCTACCAGTCTGTGTCTTGTATGTATATCATGTGCAATGACAATCCTGTCTTCGTATCCTTCCTCTACTAATGCTTTTACTAATTGTATTCGTTGCGCATCAGTCAGGAAGTCAATATCATTGAATTGCCAGTATGAGGTTTCACAACCGAAAAAATCTAATTCCATGAAAGTTCCAAGTTTGGAAAATTCAACAAATTCCTCTGGTTTAAAGAAGCAATCTGAAATGAGAGTTATAAATGGAACATTATAAATACACTGTGTCAGCCCCCTATCATTGTTTTTGAGATTCACCCTGACTTTATGAATGTGTCTCAAAATAGAGATTTTACAGTATTTATGGTAACTCCTTGGTATGAATTGCCATTGCCATTCCCCTACTTGGAGCAATTACGCTTTTTTGATCCAGTGCATGAATTTTTCTAATCAAATTTCCCAACTCTTATGACAATTGGCAATTAGTAGAAGTGATTTTCTGTTCAACTGCGAGATCTTGCATATTGCGAGAAAGACGCAGAACGAACGTATGCCGGAAAATCAAACGATTGATATTGAACACAAATTTCTTTTTTTCATAGCTCAAATTCGAATAGCCGATCTTTGACAGGGGAATATATATAAACTCACTTCATCGAAATTGACCATCATCAAATGTGTACAGCACATTATTAAGCATGCAAATATCCCCCAAAATACATTCACATTTGTCGAATTCCATGCGATGTTTGTCGAATCCCACGCGATGTTTGACGCCACTACAATGCTATCACCTTTGTTTATCCTGTTTTTACATTCAATTTCACGCATAACGCGGAATCTCACAGTGAGCAGAAAATGGTCTATTGATCACATGACTATGTAGATAAAAATAATTTCTGCAAATTAACTCACAATCTAGATGTGACATCACAGTATTTTTGGAGTCACCTCCCGCTTCCTGGAACACCCTCATAATCTCATACGGTGCATCTGGATAATCTTCCGGATGAAGTATAACTGGGCATCCCAATTCATTCTGAGCTGCTGCTGTTGCTCGCAGAACTTTCTTTTCAACATCTGTTGAAAAAAAAAAATTGATAGACCTGAAATCAGCTAATATCAGTGATATAAAATAAAACATAAAAAAATTATTTATACCAACTTTTCAGAAAATTCAGATTCCTAATTTGCTTACCGATACAATCAAAGTTAATGAAAATACAATAAAAGTTTCAATAACAATAAAGTATAGATTGAAATAACTGACAAGGTAATACAAATTATTTTGTTTAAATCCTGTTACAAGTTTTCAGTGAGTATAATGCAACTATTATACTATTTTAAATTCAAGTGAGTTTAAAATAAAATTGTTTTTTGTTATCAAAATTTACAAATTTGCTGTTTATCGAGTTAATTGTGTTGAATAGCATATTTCTTTCTTTGTTGAATAATTTACAGATTATCAAATGATGTAATCCATCATTTATCATATGGCAGTGAGAGAGAATTCTGTCTTCTACTGGTGTTTTGGGTTGTGTGTACTTTCTATTTTTTATTGCCAGTTTATGACAACTTAATCTGAATTTTGCAATTATTTTAGCATGTTGTTTATTATTTAATATGTTTATGTTTAGTCATCTTGTTTCAATTTTTGTATGTATGTAATTTGACTGTTAAAACTAGGATTCTGTTCACATTTGTTTTTTGTGTCTCTCTCTGCTGGCATGATGAACTTACAGAAGGGTAAAATAATCAAAGAAAGCTTAGAAAGAACTCCCGTGTGCTGAGAGTATTGAAGACACATTAAAAATTAATTCAAAAAAATAACAAAAGCTGAAAAATAATTAATTATGCAAATTAGGTAATTAATATGTACTGATATTACCCTAACAACTATCAGGTTTGTGCAGTGTCCTATGACATCTATGTACCAAGTTTTATTAAAATGTGATGATTACTACTTGAAATATCAAAAGCTGAAAATTAATTAATTATGCAAATTAGGTAATTAATATGTACTGATATTACCCTAAAAACTATCAGGTCTGTGCAGTGTCCTATGACATCTATGTACCAAGTTTTAATAAAATGTGATGATTACTACTTGAAATATCAAAAGCTGAAAATTAATTAATTATGCAAATTAGGTAATTAATATGTACTGATATTACCCTAAAAACTATCAGGTCTGTGCAGTGTCCTATGACATCTCTGTATCAAATTTTATTGAAATGTGATGATTAGTACTTGAGATATCAGTGGAAAAGCCAAACAATTGATTAATCATTATGCAAATTAGGTAATTAATATTGCACAGATTTTTACCCAAAACTAATCAAATCTGTGCATTAGATCAGAGCATCTATGTGCCAAGTTTTATCAAAATACAATGAGTGGTTCTTTAGATATCAGTGGAACAGTCATGGAACAGCTAAAAATCAGCTAATTATCATGCAAATTAGGTAATTAATATGCATGTGTTTTTACCAAAACCTAATCAAATCTGCGCATTGGCCCAGAGCATCTATGCACCAAGTGTCATCAAAAATCAATGTATGGTTCTTGAGATATCAGTGGAACAGACGGACACACATACACACACACACACACAGACACACTAACTGCAAAGACTCCTATTGTGTGCTTCGCACACGGGAGTCAAAAACATGTAAATCCATTACACCAGTGGCAGTGTTAAGCCTTCCTCAGAGGGAAGAGAGGGTATCAACATCAGTGAAATTATTATCTAATACTTATTTTGGCTTAAAAACAGATTTGAATCTGTTATGCTGTGTAAAGAGGCTGAAATACAATGGTGTTTATACATATCATAAGCCCCCTTGGAGAGGACAATGTGGAGAGGAGGGTTATCACCACGAGTTTAACTATTACATAACACTTATGCCGACTTACAGTGAAAACCACTGACAGTTTAGACTTTACAGTTTAGACAGTTTAGAATTTACATTATTTCTATTTATAAATATGTCGAGACTGCAGACAAATTCTGCTGGTTATCAACAATTTTACTATTACTAATCTATTTATAGATTAATTGTTTGATGCACATATGGTATAACATTAAAACATAATAATAGCACAACTACCAGCTTAATTCACCTATAATACTGACAAGTCATTTGTATTTTGGTGACTGATTTGAGGACACAAAATAATGTCTAGTCTTAGTAACAGTGTAGTATATGAACTGTTTTTTTTTTTTTTTAGAACACTGTTGTAAAAAATTAAAATGAGGCATTTTCCAAAAAATAGAGACACTATAGGATTCTAAATAAGTCATGTAACAATAATGCAATGCAAGCATCATTTTAAAATATTTAAAAAATCATTAAAATCACTTTTTAATAAGTTTATGTAGTATAGAAAAAAAACACAGTGTTTATAGGTTTTTAAAGAGTGCTATAGGAATATATAAAAGTGTTAAAATCATGTATTTCTTAGCTTTCTAAAACAAATTTCAGAAATATCAACAATATAAAAGAAGTTTGGGATTTATACATAACTCTTTCATAACAATATTTATAATGAAAATTATTCATGTGTTCGAAGTTGTACATGATATCATGACACAAGTCCTACAATCCCCTGGCCATCTTTGATGGTCTTTGACTAAATTGTCTGTAAACTGACAATATCCAATGTAATCTTAAATGCAATTTGAGTAACTGACTTCAACAATCACCCTTCACTTTATATCACAACAGTTTTCAATTGCACACTAATGTGACATCACAAACTAATTTACATATAATTTGCATAATCTCACCTGCTAAAGGATAGAAGCTACAGACTTCACCAATCACACCACACCAGATATCACCACTACAGTATTCATTTGCATACTAGTGTGACATCACAACTAATTTACATATATTTTGCATAATCTTACCTGCTAAAGAAGCTACAGATTTCATCAATCACACCACACCAGATATCACCACTACAGTATCACTTGCATACAGGTGTGACATCACAACTAATTTACATATAATTTACATAATCTCACCTGGTATAGGATAGGAGCTAGCAACTTCACCAATCACACCACACCTGATGTCACTGCCATCGGCACCTTCTAAAATATCATTCATCAACATCTTGCAAATCTCTTCTTCAGATTGGGACTGTAAACGATGTATGATATCAAATTCTGCTCGCTGCGATGAATAATCACCAGCAAGATAAAATCCTACAAAATAAAATTTTTAAATTATTTGTATATAATTACCAAAATTCTAAAAATGTTTTCTTTTTTTTATCGATTGAATATTCTGAAGATTATGTTCAAGAGAATATAAATGACTAAATGACCTTTTCACCACCAGTTGCCTTTTATCATCAGATATTCACAAAATAGTCTTCCAAAATTAAGGTTCATTTCCAGAAATATTTAAAGTGCCTGTGAAATGGCTGCTGTTTTCATGCCTAATATTATCCATTGATACATAAATATTATTAATTTTTATGTTTCTAAGCATGATTTTTTTTTTGGGTGAAAAAATGTGTTTTAAACTCAGTCTACGGCAACTTTATTTTTGTGTATTTTAAAACGAGACTCCTCATTAGCTTCTCATTTGGATACAGAAATTCCCCGTGTGACGTCAGAAGGGGAAGTCGCATGGCAGCTTGCATTGCCGATACGTGTACATAAGGCAAATTTCTTGTGCAGTTTTCTCGTCTTTTACTAAATTGTCACTTATGTACTTGTTCGTCAAAGAAGAATGGACCATAATGAACACATAGTATCAATTTTTGTTGCATGGGGTTGAGTTAGATGCGAAATATGTCCGTTCTGGTGTAGCTGGTCACCGTGATCGTCACCGACACCGGCGCACGTTTGTACACTGTCGCTGAACAAAATAGAATTTGACGTCGGAATTATCTCGTTATTTAGCAGGTTACTAGGCACGTCACTAAACTGTTTTATTTCATCGATCGTCTGAGTTAAACTTTCAAAATTAAAATAAAAGAGAACATATTTTGACATTCTAAACATTAGACTATAGTGATCACTATAAAATAATTAAAAAAAACGACAAATCACAGTTACTAAATAAATGACAGTCGCGTGGAAATAAATTGACATTTTGTTGAAATAGGTGAACGCGTCGGATCACGACCAGGGCAAGCATGTTAAGGGCGGCGTTTAATTGGATAACAAAAATATTCAAGATCGACACACATACAGATAAATTCAGAGTGGATTCGAGTTAGCGTGATCCATGGCGTAATTGCCATAATTATAACATCATATTAAAACTTTATTTCATTGGTGGAAACACATTGACCAAGCCCGGATTCTAATTTCATAAATTATTACGCAGATCAAGCTGCAAGCATGGAGGTAAAAAAAGAACAGAGGTGTGAATTCGACATTCAACACCAATCACCAAACAATTCAGAAACTTTTAGCCTTCGAAAATGAAAACACTTAGCAGTGTGTAAGGGCTGTGTAATTTCCTGTTTGTCTGATGCTTCGTTTTCGTGTCACTGTCAAAATTATTGCTACCTTTTACTTAACAGGGAATAAATGGTCTCTATAAAACGATAATCACGTTCGCAAAAAAAGTCAACTTATTTGAAACACTTGCCGGACGTCTCTCTCTCTTCTAAAATCCGCCTCAGCGATCATGGGCTGGTCCGGAATCTATTTCTTTCAAAAGTGTTGCGCCAGGTTTACGTTGTCGACGTTTCTCTTTAAACCTAGTTTTTTTTTTTCATGGACGAGCATAGTATTTCCAACAAAAAAAAGAATCTGAGGTTAAGTGGCTTTGGTCCACTGTTGTCGCACCTTCGGATCGATTAGAAATGATTACATACACTATGACTATACGTTTCATTGCAACTGCCCACAACACAACACAACATCTATAAAATCTCTCTCAAAAAAAATAAAATAGACAAAAAAAAAAAAATAAAAAACGCTGATCGAAAAATGCATATCGTTTAAACCTATACTGATTGACCAGTGTTATTACGGCTCAGGGGTATGACTTCCTCTCACATTTTTGTCATTTGGTGGCGCACTTTCGGCGAGAGTCGGAAATCCGGAAAGTCAACCGTTTCAGGATAGGTGGGCGTGGCTACAACACGAGAAATATCCCAAATTTACTTGGATACGAGTAATCATTTTCAGCAAAAAAATCAATAACTACCCTTTTCAGTGGGACACAGATCTAAAATGAGAAACGTGAGGGTGGGCATTGCACAGGCACTTTAAGAATATAAGAAAAAAGGTCAGAAACATTTGGGTGAGAAAGTCTGGTGGTGAAAATGTTAAAAAGATGGGACAGGTCTTTCATGGTTCACATCTGAGTCAATAAGTAATTACATCCATCTGGTCAAAAATCAATAAAAAAATAAATAAATAAATAAAAATTCGCAAAATAAATTCATATGTTAAAGTGAGATTTTGTTGACCTGAGCCAACTGTTGATGCTGATCAAATATGAATACTCACCAGTTCCGGATACGACGTTCACTCCAGTTGCTTCTGAATACTGCTTCAATTTACGCACATCACGAGTAATTCCAAGGGTTGTGCATTCAACCAATGATGAACCACCGTGTTTCTTGAAGCTTTTCAAGTCATTAACGACTGCCTCATTGTCATCACACAGCCTCAAATTAAATTTACTGGAATATCTGAAGAGAAAAAAATTAACGCTAAATCTTTTGGAAAAGGTGAGCTTTTGTATACTGTTAAAACAAACATGTGTAAACGCTAGTAAACAGATTTCTCACTTTTATGTTCATATTATAATTTTCTTTTTAACATACAAGAAACTTTGCGATGGGCGTCTTTTGTGGTCAGTGATATTCATATTTATTTATTTATTCACAATTCAATATGCCTTTTATAACCGGCTTCACAATTCCCACCACCAATTGAATATGCGTGACGCAATGACCACTGCCCTTTAAATTGCAACCTTACATTGAATTAATAAATTCAAGATAGTGGCAATGACATCATACCAATTGTAACTTAAGGTAGAAGCCTAGTCATAATTTTTGACAAAATTGGACATAAATCGCATGACAATGTTCATTAGTTTATTATGTACAATCATGAAGCTAATGTCTCATGGTACAATGAAATAGCATTATTTTGTGTGTTACAGTTATGTTTTTTGAGAAACGTGCTCTAATATTACTTAAAAATTGCTATTTTTAGAACAATTCCATAGAACAAAATGTTAAAGAAAAATTGCATTTTTTGACAATTTTTAAAACCAAGATTTTTTAAATAATTCAGAATAACAAAAAGTACTCCATGATTAACGATATATGATTTTTTTAGCCCATTTTTAGCTAGATTTTGAGATATTGCATAATATCTCTGCCATAGGAACCTGTGGTAAAAGTGTTATAATAGCGTCAAAATGGCGACTTTCCACTAAAATACAACCATCAATTTCTAGAAAAAAAGGCTGGTGACCCCGAACTTTTTTTAGGCCAATATCTTTATATTGCCTTGGAGTACAATTTATTGCAAAATGAATAAATTCTGGTTTTTTTAATTTATGAGTAGGCTTCTACCTTAACTTAATTGTTTGTGTAATTTAAGGAAAGAGGATAAGGTATGGTACAGGTAACCTTATCTCTCTCTACACCCAAAAAACTTGGACTAACTATTAATGAATAGCTATTAAATAACTATGTTACATTTTTTTTCTTATCTAAACTTACTCATTATGCCGAACCCATCCAAGGTTAGTTAAGGTTATTGGTTCATTTGCTTTCACTGTATTCTCTGTCTCTTGGTAAAAGTATGAGTAGTTCATAGAAAGATGTTCATGAGTCAAGGTTCTGCCAAGCTCCTCAGGGTCAAGGGGTCCAGTAACTGTAACAATTAATATTGATAATTTGTATTTATCATGCTGTGGCCATTGCTGATTAATTTGATTCATCGCAGATAAAAAAAAACACAATTAGTCAGCAATGGCCACAGCATGATAAAAGCAAATAAACTCATATACCACAACTGTATTATAATAATAATGTCATTACCCAAAGAGAAAGCACACTGAATTTTACCAAGGAATGAACTGTTTTCACAGTAAAAATTTAATCTGCAAGCCCCTCACATCACACTCAAGTAGTAAAAGGTTTTTAATGATTTCTTACAATATTTATTAACTCATAATATCTCCTGGAGAAGATAAAAATGGTCATGCATCAGAAAACAAAATAAATAAAAAAAAAACTATTAATGCTCCTAACTCATTCAAGATAACATCACTGTCTGGTATTAAAATTGGTCTTAAAAAACTGAGCTATGGGAAGTGACATATGTTTGTTGCTCATAATGGAATTAAATTTATCACTCACTACTGGTTCTAAAATTATTTATATGAATTTCTGCTTTGTTAAATACACATGAATGTTCCTTTGCTAGATCATTAACTTTCCACTTGGTTTAATTCTATTCCCAAATATTATTTTTTTAGGTATATGTTATTTCTCATAATAAATGCCAAACGGTAGTAAAATTAAAACAGATTATCAAGTTTAATTTTCATTTAAGCAGACTTGAAGATACGTTGCAACGTGTTGTTTTTTCATAACTTTATGTGAAACTGCAGTGGTATTAATTTTTAACATTCAAAATTTTTAAAAACGAGAAATACAATCTCAACTAATTCGCATCCTTTCAGAAGAGAGTTACAAACTTATAGTAGGTAAGCCTAATCTCACAACAAATTTACTTTCTAAATTAAAATTACAATGGATAACAAAAGATAGATTAACATTGTAAACAACATAAACAATAGTGTCCCATGATTCTTTGGTGCAATCCCTGGGCTTGGAAGGTTCCCCTATAATTCGAGTCCATACAATTTTAACTCCGTACAGTGCAGTCTGATCGGCCAGAAACAGGTATTAGTATATAGATAAGATAAGATAAGACAACTTTATTGACATTATTCTTTCTATAGAAGATGAACATAGTCAAGTGAAATAAAAAAAAAAGTAAAAAGGATAATCAAAAAATTAA